ACCGCCACCACCACCACCACCGGCTCCCCCCGGTGCAGGACCGGCGGAACGATGCCCGCAAGCGGAGCGGGCTCCCGCATGGGGCTGGAAGTTTCCCACGCAGGGCGAGGGCAAGCGGCACCCAAATCGGGCTCCCATCCCCATCATCCCCCAGCCTGGGTGCCCTGATTTCCTCCTCCTGCAAGCGCTCGGCAAAGGGCAGCTATACAAGAATTGCCTGTTCCATTAAAAAAAAAAAAGACTAAAAAATAATAGGTGTCATGCGTTGCAGCGGCGCTGCCACGTGGGTGAGGTTTGGCTCTCTGGCCCCTGTCCCCAGCCATGTGGCTTTGTGATGGTGCCTTCTGTTGTCACCCCCACCTCGAGTTCTAATTTCAAGGGATACCTTCTAAAAACCACTGATCATCGCTTCTACTATTACAGATCGCGTTCCTTGTTGGCGTAATAGCAAAACCTGATCAGCTTTGCTCTTCAGGCGCACTTTTCCAGGTTATTTCTGGGTCCACACTGGGGGCTGCTGCCTTACTTCCAGTTATTAAACTTCCAGTTAAGTGGTACTTGATCCATTTAGCACTGGGGTGTCCGCGACCTTTGAGAGGCACAGTTTTCTGTGAAATTAGAGGTTACATTTTTCAAAAATAACTACATGTTTTGGATCCTAAATTTCATTTTCAAAGGTGGTCAAGGCTTTGAAATTACCAAATACCTGGGAAGGAGCTTTTGAAAATGGAACTTAAGAACACCCTGATTTTCCAAGGCATAAACCAGTCATCACCAGTCACAGCTGGAAGTGAAGAGAACAGACATTTCAAATGAGCCCTGTTTTCTCCCAGCACCCCTTTTGACTTTCTTCTCCCAAAACATCATTGTTGTTTGGGGGCTTTTTAATTTGGCCTTCTTTTATATGAGTACCTTTAATAAATATGTTGCTGGGAATTAATCTTGAGCAGAGTCTCCACCCAGGTTGATGAGTCTTTGCCAAGCCCAGCTGATGCACATTGCCCCAGTAGAACTGCAGACCATGGCCAGCAAGAAATGTGAGAGACCTGGCACGTTCAGCTGTTGCCCTTTGCTCATCAGCTGCCAACAGCTCTTTCCCATACTGAACTTTGGCTCGCCGCAGCTTTTCCAGCAGGTCTGAGCCATATCAACAGGTATCAATAGTCCCGTCTACCCCAGGGACATGGTCTCCAACACTGATGGCCTGAGGCAGCATTATCAAACAATTAGTGGGGAGAACGGTCTGGTGCTCATAGTTGAGTAGTCTCAATTTTAATAAGATACATATCAGTCTTTCAGACATTGTGTACCTCACAAGATGCATGTTAGAAGTGACCTGAGGCCTTAAATGCCAAGGTTTTTGCATGAGGTCATGAAAAACTGGCTCATCCGTGCAGGGTTCTGCCAGTTCAGAAAGCGTTTGTTTTCCATCCAGGGAAAACTGGTTCTTCCACCAAAAGAAAACAACAAAAAAAGCTCATTTTCTTGAAATCTCTTTAGCCTACAAAACTGCTCATCTCCTTCCTAAGATGTTTATTTGGGGGCCTCTGCTATAAAAATTTTGAAGTTAGAAAGCCAGAAAGGCCTCTGTCTGTAGATGGGTAGATTTGCAGACTAATTCAATTAGCGTGGCTAGACAGATGCTTTCCTCCAGATGGATGCTGTGGTGCGTTATAAACAGGATGGACAATCTAACAGACTTCTCAATAAGTGAAAATAGAGGGGTGTCTCTTAAAACACTTAAGCGTGTAGAATTATGCCAGGGGAAGTCTTAAAATTCCCTAAAAAAAAAATAAGTTGGGGGCATGCTGGCCTTTCCAGTCAGCTTTTGCCTGCTCTAGGTTAGGTGCTGAAGGCAGCAAAGCTCTGAAAACTCATATAACTCACCACGTGTGTATCTGGAGGCCCAAGTAAACTTCTGCACATGCTACTGCAGTTACCAATATTCAAGTTGGTGCTTTAAATCTCTTGAATATATGCAAGTGCCATCACATGTCTTGATCACGTCTTGGACATCCTGTTGGAAGAGTTTGTCCAGGCTGAGGAAGTAGATATACTACTTGTCTGTCACAAGGAAAACAGCTGCTAGAAAAATTTGATTCTAATACTAATTATCTGAAACATCTGCTTGGTTAGTTTATTGCAGCAGAATACAATTATCAGTTACATTTCTGTCCAGAAGAGACAGAATGCCTGGCTTTTTTTTTCCCTCTTCTTTATATTGTATACTTGCATTTACTTCCTTTAGAAAAATTCCTCCTGGCTTGCTTTGCTGAAAGAAAGAATGAGGGTCCTGCATCTCCACTCAAATACATCAGTAGACCCGAGTTTGCTTTCTGCCACCTTTCAACATGCCACATTCCTCAGAGATCTCAGCAGAGTGCTTCAGGGATGCACAAGTGACCTGTTTGGATTTAATAGTTAATTATTGTTATACCCAAACAGTTTTTCTGGTCTAAATTGACCCAGATTTCCCTACTAATGTGTGGAATACTAATGTTCTTGGATTATCATTAGCTTAGAATGAAAAGGGACTTTATAGCTAGAAAGTCCCTTTTCCTCAGGGCTCAGTAGTTTTGCCAACGCAATTCTCAGCTATTTCCTCAACCGAGGCGAGCATTAGCAACTTTTTCCCCCACAATAATTTGCAATAAATTTCTTGCAAATACCTTGTCAGCTTTGTGTAAACACTTGAACATTTATAGCTGGGAGGCAACGTGCTGCCGTAGATAAGGTTGGACACTACAATCTTTAACGAGTCAGCTCCCCTGAGACGGTCTTATTACATCTTGTCTGGTGGACATCTCCTTGCCTCATACCTGTGGGCTTGTGTCGACATTCACCTTTGGGTAACCTTTGCAGCTGAGTTTTCTTCATCTCTCACCATCCTAAAACAATTTTTGCTTTAGTTCATTTTTTTTTCCTCCTGTTTGTGGTTAATCTTATTGAAAATTAGCTGTGTAGTCATGTGTTTTGGTACTTGACAGGCATAACTTTTTTTCATCCATTTCTAGAACCAGTGCCTGTGGTGTATGGCCTTTATGGCTAGCACAGAAGATGACCTGGGGGAGAGCTATGAAAGGGTGAGGAGCTTAGTGAAGCACTTGATTGATACCTTACACCTCAAGGGGCAAAAACGCAAACTTAAAAAGAAAATCTAAGCTTAACCATCAGCAGGAGGAAGAACAGTAGAGGATGATTTTCCTTAAGCAGAGCTGATGGAAACGTCTTCTGTGAAATGTGCAAGCAGTGATCGTTAGGCATCTCTACAATTGCCATTGGAATCATATTCCTAAACCTTCCGGACATATTTTACAGTCCAGGGAGCTACTGTGGGCTTCACCCAGTACACTCTCACTGGAGCAGCGGTGGGCACCCAGTGTACTTATTCTTGCTGAGGGTGCAGCAGAGAAAAACAAGGCCAGGTGCTACGAGAAGACGATGGTCTGACAGGACGCGTATCGGTCCTGTCACCTGTACTAAAGAAAACCCAACAAAAGCAGTGCTGCAACCACAACGCCTATCTTCTCTCACCAAAACTGCTCTGGATATTTTCTACAGGGCGACTGTGTATTTCATTGTTCTCCTTTACTCTGCTGTAGGTCAGGAGTAGCTATCAGAGTTTGATACTCACCCGAGTGTCTGCATCCTCACCCTTCCCCGTGGCTGTGGGTCTATGACAGGTGTTTGTGCAGCGCAGCATTAGGGTTTCTCTTCTGCCCTGTGGCCCTGGGTGCCAACCTCGCTGCAAATCACTGTTAATCTGGCGTAATTGCAAGAGTGACTGAAGAACATCATCTTGAGAGACACCTTCGGGGCACCCGTGCTTCGGTCTGCCAGGTTGACACTTGTTCTGCCCCTTGATCTGGCGGAGTAGATGCTTTCACCCAGCTGCGAGGATGTCACAGCGCTGCATTAGGTGCTGGAAAATAATGTGCTGGAGAGGTGTGCATTCTGCTCCATTCCAAATTATGCCAGTGAAGTTAAAAATCAGGCACAGCACTCTCAGACTGCACCCATTTGGGTTTCTTTCCAGGACGGTGCAGCCACGTTGAAGCCAGTTTTCATTTGCTTTAAGCCATTTGGATGAAAGGAAAGCTTATGTGCTGCCAAAATGGTTTTGCATGTAGCATAAATCATGATCCCTCGGCACCAGATCCGCACCCCTGGCTGGTCCTACTTGGTGCATTTGTCTGAGGGAAGGCTTACATATTAAGAAAATGAGGAATAACTTCAGATATGTTCAAACAGCAAGGAAGAACACATAAATAAATAAGAAATCCCAGGACTCTAGCCAAGAGGCTTTTCCTTGGGATGGCTTTGAAATTCTGTTTTGTGATTCTCTGATGAAAATCCCTACAGATCAGCTGGTACAGGAGGGAGGTGACAGGAAAGGATTCTACCAGTGTAGAATATACTCATCAGCCAAGGGTGTACAGCAGTAAGGAGGGCTGAGATTGGGACAGCTTGTGGATGTATCAGCAGCTGTCACTTCCAAGATACCACAATGCTAACAGTTTTAATGCAATTTCTTTCTATAAACACTTCTGACTTTACTGCCTTGCAATTTTGAGTCCTGCTGGAGACTTGGACTCATTAAAAAGGCATTTCCTTCAGACGAGCTGATTAGATAGCTGTTCCTTCCCCCAGATGATGAAAGGCTGGAGAACACCTCACTGAAGCTAAAAATCGCAGAAAATTAAGACACATTAGTTTAACAAGAGGTGCAGGTTCACCTTGAGACGTCCCACTATGAAAACAGTTAAAAAAGAGAGGATTCTTGAATGTGAGAATTGGGTGACTTGTCTACAATCTACATTGCACAAATCTGGCTCCTAACCTCTAATTATGGTTTTCCCAAATAAATGAGACACAGACCTGAAGGCAGCTGAGTAATCCCTAATGCCATTGACTCCACGAGACCCGAGGGCATGCGACACTTTTACAGGAGAACTAAGCACCCAGCAGGATCATGGTCTAAATGGAAATCAGAATGACTTTTGAATTAACGCAATGTGATTTAGCAAACACAGTATAATTGTGGAGTACCTGCAAATATTGACATCAGCCTAACGCCTCA